GAACCTGAGGAGTTACCTCTAGAAGAAATGATCATCGAAGGCCGACGCAAAATTGATAACAGCGATGACGAAACCAGCGAATCAGATGATCAGAACCCAGGACAACGATCACTGTCCGACGCTAAACAGCTGATTCAGGGTGTATCAGAATCTGTCGATAGATTCGATCGATCGATTGCGAACGCCGGATTAAATCTCTCCAATCCGACAAACAATACTCTACTTTGGGATTATGAAGGCCTAGACCACAGTCCACGAAGACAATATGTTTCTGACGGTGAAGAAGATCAAGAACATCTGGACTATTTAGAAACTCTTGATCCTGCCGTTGGAACCGATGACGAACTCTCCAAAAGAGTAAAGAAATTTCTGGACGACTTCAACCGGAGTAGAGCGGAAAAATTAACTGAATCAGAAGAGTTTTCAAGTGAGCACCCTGAATTGCCCACCATGGTGGAAGGATCACAAAAGGAAACTCCTCTAACTAGTAAATCTACCAAACCAAGGAGACAAAGTACGGTAAGATTCAAGGACATCCCAGAAGTCTTTGAACATTCTATAGATGATCAAACACTCGAGATGGAAACCGAACTATCTACTCCAGGGCCATCAGCTATCCCACGTGCACAATCCACCCCGTTCACGGGATTCAAGGATGAAGGGATCAACTCCAACCGAGAGATCACCGCGAGGAACCAGGGCATGAAACCTAGACGAATACAGGATACAGACAATGATGCAGCAAAGAAGTGCGCGCCTCTTAGCTCTTCGTTCCTAAACTTCAAGAATTCATATTTTGATCCTCCATCATCTTCCGGGACATCCAGTGAAAGTGATCGTGATAGTGAACCCCAAGAATTGAAACCGAACAACAACAAGCCCCTTGGTGGTGTAACAAATCAATGGACAGAACCTTTGACGTACAGACGAGACAACTATGCCCACTTCCTTTCTGAAGATTGTGAACCAGTCGATCCAATCTCGAAATTATTAGTCGCCACAGAAAATATTGACTTACAGGATATTAGGGACAGCAGACCCGTCAAAGGACAAATTTTCATTTCCCCTAACGGTAAATACAAGGTCTTTTCGATCATTGTTAAAAGACGTCATTTTGATGAAATTTGTTGGAAAGATGTTATAATCGGACTAAAAAAATTTAAGAAAAGCCTTAGCATCTAACGAACAAAATTCTTGTCGAATGGCAAATTCCGGAGACCTGCTAGGTACACTCCCTCAGAATAAAATGTCGGAACTTGTCGCAGGAATTTTCCGCGGTGGCGACGCAACCATCACCCTGTGCCACGGAAAAATTGAAGTACCCCCTGTTGAATTACGCGGTAAAATCGTTTCCGAATTTCATTCTAGTTTGATAGGTGGACACAAAGGTATAGGCAAGACCTACCGACGAATTAGGGAAAGATACTATTGGCCCCGGATGCGTGACGACGTTACCCAACTTATTCGAGGATGTAAGAGTTGTTTCGAAAACAAACTCGCTAGGGCCCGTACAAGAGAACCGATGATAATTACCGATACTCCGGCAATGCCTTTTGACAAGGTGTCTCTAGACACCGTCGGGAAATTGCGAACCACCCCAAACGGAAATCGGCACATCCTCACAATGCAGGATAATTTCTCTAAATACTGTATCGCGGTCCCCATTCCGAATATAGAAACAAAAACAATTGCCCATGCGGTAGCTACGAACTTGTTCTCAGTATTTGGAGCACCCCGTTGCATTCTAACGGATAGAGGAGCAAGTTTTGTTAGCACCTTGATGCGTAAGTTGGAAAAAATCTTTGGCGTTAAACAACTTACGACATCTGGTTACCGCCCACAAACTAACGGGGCACTTGAGAGAAGTCACATCGAACTGACGGATTATATTAAACATTACGCGAAGGATTTTGACGATTGGGATCGTTTGCTTCCGTTCGCGATGTTTAATTATAATACGTCCGTTCATGAGGCAACCAATTTTACCCCATACGAACTCGTGTTTGGACATTTAGCTAAAGCACCTAGTTCGTTACCTCAGGGACCCGAAGTCGAAACGTATGGATCCTATCTGAAGGACTTAATTACACGGATGAACGAACTACAAAATTTAGCTGCTAAATATTTAGTTCGATCAAAACAACGGTCAAAAGAAATCTATGATCGTAAGGCACGACCTTTGAATGCCAAAATAGGCGACCAGGTGTATGTCTTTAAAGAAGTCCGGTCTAATAAGTTCGACAAGCGAGCAGAAGGACCATACACTCTTGCAGGATTCACAGAAAATAACAATGTGATCCTTGAAACTAAAAACGGTGAGAGGTTCGCAAAACATAGGGATAAAGTCAGGATTGCCCAATTGTGAAATTCCTGACTTAATTCTAAACCCATATTAACTTGTTCTTTCTGATTTTAGATTGACGAACAAGCGATGATGACCAATTATCTAACTTTGACATGCCTCTTCCTAACCTTAGTGATGACAACGAAGCAGACCCATTCCCACGATGTGGAGATGACTACCTCCAGTGATCGTTACCAGATCACTCCTTTCAAGTCCAGCAGCGGGATATATTTCGAATATATCGGAGAAGTCAGGAGGTCCGTCAGCAACTGGAGGATTGCCGTATTCCTGGACGTAGGCAAGCAGACTCGATTCTTTGACGACCTAAGGAGCAGGCTGCAGCGACTAAAACAGCAGTGTAAACCTGAGGAAGAATGGTGCAACGAATTAGTCGAATACTATGACTGGGAAGATAAATGGGAAATGGCTTCAGAACTTCAAAAACAGTTTCGAGTCCAGATCGAAGAACTGGAAAATACTAAAAAGACCTTACCAACCAAGATGACCACCCAACTACGAGCAAGGCGTTCAGTCCCACTATTAGGATTCCTGGGAAAGATTGCAGGACCAATCGTCGGCGTTTTGACCTATGACGACGGAGAAAAATATAGTGCTGCCATTCAAGATCTCAATGAAGCCCAGGCCAACTTGTCACACCTGGTGGGAAAACAAACCCACGTAGTGAGATCACAACTCGATTCGCTGCACTCCCAGGTGCAACAACATGGATCTTTACTGAAGGAACTGCAGGAACAACTCCAAGTCCTGACTGCCGTAGGAAGTACTAAGTCGAAGGCTGAAATGGAGAGAAGAAATCTAACATATGCCATCGCCAAGGCATTAAGATTGGGCCTCGATCACAACATGCAGGCCACTACCACTATGTTAGAAGCAGTTCATGAAGCCAGGAAAGGATATCTACACCCCGGCCTCATAACATCAGAACAACTGAAACCAATTCTGCGAGAAGTGCAGGACAACCTCAAGGATGTTCAGTTTCCATTGACCGGGCCTAGGATCAGCATCGACGAACTGATGCGTATCTCCACCATCACCATCTTGTGCGAAAATCATCAACTTAAGGTCCTCATCGACATACCACTCCTAGAAAAATATAATTATCAAGCCTTCAAATTACACTCACTCCCGACCACTCAAGAAATGCTCGAGAATGGTACCGGAAGAGCATATATAACATCTGCATACGATTACCTTATTATTGACGAGGATCAACGAACATACCTCTTGTTAAAGGAGCAGGAATGGAATTTGTGTAAAACAACAACATCTTTTCACGCCTGCCTTCAAGGCGCCCCAATCTACGATCTCCGTGAACGAGCGTCCTGTGAAGCCTTATTATTGATCAAGCCCAACGTGGAAGCTTTAAGGTTATGCGATGTCAGAGTAACCAGCGAATCCAAGTCTTACTGGAAACCTTTGACCACCATAGGCGCATGGATCTATTCCTTTGCTGCACCAGAAAAAGCGACAATAGCATGCCATTCCACGAGTCCAATCAAGATCATGCTGAGCGAAGTTTGGATCCTTAAATTGGGTCCAGGGTGCTCCCTCAAAACCAAAGACGCCATAATTCCAGCAACCACCTCACAAGCTGGTCAATCAGAGTTTATTTTTGAATCGGATCTACATCTAAACTTAACAAAACTATCCCCAACACTACTAAAATATAATCACCTGCTTGAAAACACCAGAGTCCTAACGAAGTCCATCCTCGAGATTAACCCGCAGTTGTCAGCATTCAAGTTGAATTCCAAAACCCTAGACGAACTAGAACAACAACTTCAAGAGTTCGCCTTACAACAACATAATCAAGGAAGACACTCGACCTTGATTTACGGATCACATGGAGGCATTATTCTCCTATGTGCATTTTTGCTTATGTACTTGTGTCGATCACCACTGAAAACTGGGACATATAAACTGTCTCAATCAATTTTCTCAAGGCAAAGAGATAAGAATCTTCAAACGCCACAGCGAAGGAAACCGTTAACTAAAACTCCAACACCCGAGGATATTGCTGGATTATACGAGGATATCCCTTCTACAAGTAAAACCGCAGCTAACAAAGAGGTGACCGTACCAGCAAGCACAACTTTGACCCAACCAACAACTACTCCAAAGAAGGAGATAAAGTCTGCAACGTCCGAAGATAAACCATCAGTGAAGATCAGATGACTAACCGAAGGGTTAGGTTCCAAGCTGCGAGGGATTCAGGTAGAGGAGGACTACATTGGGAAGGAATCACCAACGACTTTTCGCCAGTAGTTCTCGCCAAATACAACCCCGCAAGACAACACGGAAGATCTTCGACTCAAAGAGGTTAGTGCTTACAACGACCCCAACAGGCGTTCAAAAATCGCCACCCAAAATAACCTGATTCCGCAGGTCCATCATAATAAGAAAACACATATAGAGAGAGAGTTTTTTTTTAATCTACCTATATATATATATATTCTTTAATTCGGATACTATTTTCAAAAAAAAAAAAAAAAAAAAGAAAAGAAAGAAAAATTTTTATGCCTGATATAAATTCAATATTAAGACTTTTATTTCTTTATAAAAGAAAATAGTTTAATGGAATTATTTATTATATAATAAAATTTTTTTTTTAAAACTTTAATTATATCAGATAAATTGATCACTTTATAAAATATATATTTAGAAGATTTCTTAATAGGCCATCTAAATAATAATCATTAATTATGCGTTAGTTCTTTTATTCGTTTGTATATTCACAAAAAGGGAAAAGCGTATTCCAATTAATTGTATAGTTAATTGACTATTTAACTTTAGTCCACGAAGGTTTCGCGCAACCCTTTCATCCTCTCACGCGATGAAAACTCTTTAATCCAGGCTTCCGGGAGTCAGTCAGCCGCAGAATGTGTTTACAGCTCCTGCATTTCCACACGTACGGACGCAATTGGTAGAGTACTTTCCGTGGAAGGTCGTGACGAATGTCCGCCTAAAAAAAAAAAAAATTTTTATATACATGAAATCAATATTTTATCTACTCTACTAAATTGCCTAACACAACATAGGTATTTAATACTATACCCGAAACGGCCCCATTGTGTTGATTCGGTCCATTTCCTCTAAGAATGCACCGGTGTGATGAAAGCTGTCCCTATCCTGCCTATGTTGGAAGAGTTTTACATGGATCATTTCATGTAACAATGTTCCAATTAGCTCCTCTACAGGAAGAATACGATGAATCTCCCAGCTTATGCGAACCTCGCGCTGGGGCAAATCGGTACACCCCGAGGTCGAAGTCATCTGCCGCCCCCACGTGATTGTATATCCCGCATCTGCGAGCTCTCCATCAAAATATATTACATCCAACCGATCGTATAACCCTTTTATATCAGGCCGTCCATCGGTAGTGCGTTTGCGTTCGGGATAGGTCAATCCTGCTTCCAAGGGTAGTTGTTGAGATCGAGTTGCTCTGCCGTTCATTTTCCTTTTCTTTCCAAAAATAAATGTTTTCGTCCTAAATACAAATAAAATGTTGAGTAAAAAGAAAAAGAAACTTAAAAAAAAAAAAAAAAAAAAAAAATTTTAAATTTACTTTTCTAAAATAATCCTGGTTAAGTTAACAAGGGACAACAAGGTCGAGAAAAGCAAAAAATTTTGCTATTAGGGTGTCTAGAAATGCTAATTCCAGAAGGGCCCACTTTAGAGCCAATTTTGGGGCACTTCCGGTCAAAATTCGTAACGTGTCGGAGTAGACCTAAAGGTTATAGTTCTGACTCCAGAAAATAATGCACCACTTATCAGATAAAATTTTTGACAATTTTGTGGAAATTAGCAACAATTTTCTCAAGTAGTGTCGTTGCCGAGCGCGCGAAGTTCTCGTCGGCAGCCGCCGCCGACCACGGGTAGCAGCCGCCTGTTGAACGATTGCCGTGAGGCGAAGGAGAGAATAATGTGTCAAGAGTTTTCTAATTTTATTTCAACAAGTTTTAATTTTAATTGTTAAAAAAAAAAAAATTTTAAAATGTATTTTAGTGCATTTTATTTAACTTTAAAAATCACTAGTTCAGATGAGAGCACAAAAAGTTGCATTAGTTGCATTAGTGAGTTGAGAGCGTTTTCAGAAAGACAAATATATTTATGCGCTTTGTGAACAAATATTTAATGTTAAGTTAATTATAAATAAAGCAATAGCATTAGTTTTTATAAATTTAAAGAAAAAAAATTGGAAGAGAAGCAAGCGCAAAATGCCTACCTCTAGGGTTTCGTGGCATTTAAAAAGAAAAATAAAAATTTAAAAAAGGAAACTATGGATGTTTAATTAATTTCTATAAATTCATTCTCCACCAATTAACAAGTTGATTAAATCCATGGTATCTTCATTTAAAATTTGAATTTGACTATCATTTTGTAATTGCAATTCAATACTGAAATTATCTGTATAGGTATAAAATATTTTGTATTAATTTATTTTTATATTTTATTTTATTTATATTTTGTCTTTATAGATATTTTATTATAAATAATATATTTGTGACAAATAAAAAAAAAAAATAAAAGCAGGCATTCACGAATCCTGTTTTGGTTATCATAAACCATTGTGGTTAAGACTGACTGACTGACTGAGTGACTGACTGACTGATTTGGGATCTATAGTACCCCAAATTTGGGATCTATAGTGCCCCAAATTACGACAGACGGACAGACGGACGGACGGACACCAAAGTGAAATTATAAGGCTTTCGGCCATGGGCCACGAAACCCTAAAAAGAGAGAAAATAGTAATAATAATAAGAATAAACCAAAAGTTACACATTATCTTAATCTTGCAATAAGCTTGATTGAGTTTACAAGAAGAGAAGGGGCTAAAAAAAAAGCAAAATTTTACTATTGATACCACTAAAGTCAATTTTCGGAATGATCAACTTCAAAGCCAATTTTGAGGCACTTCTAACGATTTCTGTGAAAATTAACCATACAGAAAAAGTTGTAGCTACAGCTCTAGGGAACAATTTTCTATGCCCAAAATAAAAATCGACCCTATATTGGGGAACTTATTAACAATTTTCCCAGTTCGACCACATGCCGAGCGTACGAATGCTCAACGAAGGTAGCCGCCGCCGACCATTACAGCCGCCTGACGGACGGCCTTCGCGCAGTGGCTAAGAATACAAATTATAGACTTTACTAATTTTACACAAAACGTAGATTTGTCAATAATAACCTATTATTATTTATCTAAAAAAAAAAAATAATAAATAAATTTTTTTTTGATATCCAAAAATATTTAAATTTTCTCTTATTAATTCTATTAAAAGGTAAAAAAAAAATAATTTAAATTCATTTTAGTAAATTAAAATTGTTATATAAAGTTAAAAAAAAAATTTTTTTAATTCAAGGTGTCTAGTGAATTATTATTTTCAAATTCCCGGACCAAAAAGAAATATTCCCGGATTGATTTTAAAACAACAATAACTATAAAATTTAAATATTAATACTTTAATAAAGAAATTTTTAAAGAGGATCAATTGAGGAAAGAGAATCAATAGACATCTTTATTTAGAGAAATATGTATAGTATTATTTTTATATATTACTCAATAAGTATAATTAGATTGCTTTGAATAATTGTAACATAATTAAGCTTTTCAAATATGTCTAAAAAAAAAAAAATACTTTGAATGGTTGAAATTTTGCAAAGTTTAATTGAGGATAATTGATTTATTTAAAGTATTTTGTTACAATTTTTGGAATTTTAGTTGCGAATTCTGAGAATGATTGAATTACCAAAAATAATAATATTTTAGAATTAATTCTAACATTTTGGAGAAGACAATTATGTTCGTGATTTTAGTGGAAATTCATCAAGAAAAAAATAAAAAGGGGAATTTTATTAGGTTTTTGAATTAGGATATAAAATTTTTTTAAGAAATTTAATTATTTTCGAAAATTAACATTAGAATATTCTTAAAAAAACTAATTATTGGAATTTTTATAATAATTCTTAGGATTTAATTATCTTCGAATAATCTAAATAAACATCCATGAAAATTTTTTTTGGATTTTGGAAAATTATTTAAATCAATTCAGAGATAAAGTTAAGTTAAAAATGTTGAAACTATGATTCCGAGGAGTAATATAGTACTCGCTAGATAAAAATCGATTTATTTATGTGGTATTTACGACCAAATTTCTCGACCCTGTCATTTCTGAGCGGGCGAAGTACTTGCCAGCGGCCACCGCCGAGCATAGCAGTCACCTCCGACCACGCGGGAACACCACCGAACAAACATTGTAGACTGTATGGCCTAAATCAAACTAAACCTATGGCGTTAACCAAGTTGACTTCTAATCGAGTTCTAACTGCGAGTTGCAATGCATGCGTTCCAGAGCAGATTCTGAGAGTTGCTTAATTAAACGTATATCTCATTATTTTGAATTATTCTCTATTTAAATTTTCAAAATATGCAATTAGGGAGGTTTTAAATAATAAAAGTTTCGTAAAACTTATTTGAAATAAACTAATATTTTTCCCTTGTTGTTATTACAATTTTCGAAAGCCAACTTTTGATAGTTGCTAATATAAAAAAAAAATTATTTCAATTTTGCCGGATTTATCAACAGTTTTCTTAAGTAGGGTCGTCGAAAACAGCCGTCGCCGCCGAACATAGCACCTGTCGTTAGCCGTACTCAGGCTGCCTTACTAAAAACAAGCTCGACTTCCGTTTCTTTTACTTAAGATTTATTTAAACTTCGAACATAAGTAAATATACAAATGGTTTTAAAATCTTTATTGAAATTTGGTGAATTATTGGAATTGTTTTTACTAGATTCTTTAAGTCTTTAGGAATAATGTGTTTATAATATTATTTGAAAATTGGGGACCGACTGAATCGGGCAAAGAAATTTTATTAGCAGTTCCTGAATAAATCGAACATCCGTTTAAGTTTCTCTAATACAAAGAATACAATAAGACTGAATTTTATTGGACTTATCCTCTTTTCGATTCAATCTGCTGGAAGAAAATTTTTGCCTCGAAGTATCTTCTTATTTTATTAAAACAAAAACATTGGGTTCTTTTTATTAAAACTCACGAACAGCTTAGTTAAGAGGACACCCCACATGGTTACAAATTCGTCACCTGGGATCAACGAACAAATCTCCTTGCCGCGCCTAATCACACTCATAGCACATTCGGCACTGTCACTTGAGGACTACTCATATGAACACATAGAAGAATCACATTCTATTTCTTCAGTGTGATCAGTAGTCACGCAACTTGCCGGAACCAATTCGCCACTATTCGAAGCCATTTCTTAAAAAAAAAAAAACACAATTAAAAAATAGGGAAATATCAATAAGGCACACGCGTGAACAATACAAGAGCTACGGAACGACTGCACAATACACACTATAGGTATAGGCATGAATCACCAGCCTCTGACGTGCTGATTAGTTACATATCACGATACACACGCATACATCAAGATTACTAAGAGGTACTGGACTGCTACGCACTGACACTGACATTACGTCACTAAACTGACGGTTCCCAATTGCGTTCGTACTACTTGGGGATGTGCGGGCACAAGGTTAAAGAAAATAAAATTGCCTAATCAGATCAAGTACCACTGAGACGATTTGGAAATGTACCATGCTGCGATCAAGAAAATTTGTTTCAGTAGTAAAGTAAAAAAATTAAAAATCTTTCAGTTCACATTTCAGTTGCAATTACGGAAAACCATTTTGCGATTATTAAATTTTTGTGTAATAAAAAATTAAGAATACAAAAGTTTATCGTAGCAATTGTTTGAGAAATTTTCTAGCAATTATTTCTTTGAAAATTTCCCAAATTTTCTGGAAGAATGTTCAATTTTCGATGCTAAAGCGAAAAATTAAAAAAAAAATTTACAGTACTTACATCGGAATTCAGAATCTTATAAAGAAAAATAATTAAATAAATAAATGAGGGCATGCTATTTTGTAAAACAGTTCTAAAAATGTATGCTTTCTGCTTTGCATTTGAAATTAAATTTTGAAAGCTGTTTTATGTTTTATATTTGAACATTTTTATGAAACCATTTAGTACTTAGTAAGTAATCGGGTTTGATATTCAATATGTTATTGCTGTATCCTGATTTTAATTATATAATCGGAACTTTTTTTTAAAAATTTTAACAATAATGTTAACCATTTAAAAGAAAATTCTCTGTTAATATCATTGTACTGCGAGGTTATTATGGAATAATAGTATAGCATTATAACAATAATACGCTGTCGCGTAATGCAATAACTTACGGAGAATAAAGGCTATTACTGAAGCCACTACTATTTTTACCCATAATATATTCAACATAAAATTGTATAATTGTTTTCGAAATATTGAAGAAATTTTGTTAATACATCGTCCTAGTATGTGCATTTCTAAGTTCAAGGCATCAGGGTTTTCGGGGACGAAAACTGGAATTTTCACGGTGGATTGTTAGAATACTAGTCTTCTAAAAAGTAAGTTAATTGACAACCATGTAGAATTAATTTAATTTTAAACCAACCCAAGCATATAAAAGCATCGCAACGCAGCGACGCTATGCTTGAGGATATTTGACACCCTGATAACGTCAAATATCTTACCGAGAGAATGCCTTTAGCTAAGAAATGCTTATAAAAATAGTTAGAAGGACAAAAGAAATTATTATTTCTTTTCTCCTTCTACTAAATAATAAATATAATAAATAGTTATTAATCATTATACCAGCGCAGTCAATACTGCTTACATCGAACCTTGCGGCAATATTATGCGGTAAATAATAAATGTAAAATTCTTTTCAAAATTTTCTGTAAAACATAAAAGGAGGCGCAATGCTGCAGCCAATATATATATTCCATTTGTCAATTACTGTCTACAACTAAGGAAATACACTGTGAGGTTGCGCGTGTGTGGGGATGGTCGGCGGCAACACACACATGCCTGTGCGCCGCCGCTTGTGAACACTAGCACACTCACTGGCTTCCCCGGCTACAGAACTAATACCTTGACGGCTTTTATGCTACGGACACCAATACAAGTGCGCTATGCTTGCCTCTAATCGCTGCCTGGTTGTGCGTAGAACTTTCCTCTCCCCTCAGGGCCCATAAGCTGTAGACTACAGCTTCAAAACAAACGCACGTGCGTTACAGCTGACGCAAACTACAAGGCAGCATGCCTTATGACACTTGAATTTATGAATCAAGTCAGATGCACATAGAAACAATTAACAATAGTTAAACATTTTGTTGTAAACATTGTTGTTACAACAAAATGCCGGAGGACATTACGTTGTATGTATATGTATATATATATATATATATTGCTCAATATGTAAAATGCATATACAAACAACCTATAAAAAGTAGGAACAATATAATTACAATAAATAAATTATATACATTATAATAATTAAGATAAATAATAATTTTATTAATTAAATAATATAATTATTATTTAAATTCTAAGTTATTTCAAATAATATTTCAAAAAGTATCATGTTAACAGACTGTTTCCGTTCTCACGGACCTACCGTGAGATCCAAAACGTCAGCAAAAACGCATAGACCAATGGGCCCCTGACTTACTCCTACTCCTAAAATCTTCCCCGCTTTGCACCAAAGGCAAGGGTTAGAGGCTTGTCGCAAAATCTCAATCATCGCAGTACGAATTCTCGCTTCTTCTCGAAGACACCTCTCCTGGGTCTAACCTAGAAAGTGTTTTGGGACAGAGAAATTTCGCGACAAAAAGCCCGTCCGCGACCCGGAACCCGATTTGCATGAATTAGGGCAGACGTTAAAATTTTCAAATTCTCTGAGCCGGTGGAGTCCAGTGCGGGCTGATTTGGTGAGATTTTGGAATTGTTAATCTATTAAACAGTTCTAAAATCTTGTTATTTATAACCGGCCGGTTGCATAGATATTGCCCGCGTCCGTCTCAAATATCGGTGGCCCACGAGTGCGATCAAAACCAATTATCGAATTATCGGTTGCATTGATATTGCCCGGACTAATTCGGTAAAAGGTAGATCCGCAGTGAGTTTACACAGTTGTGTGGGACGGCCGGTTGCATAGATATTGCCCGCGACCACTCACCACAAGTGCAATCTCGCAACCAAAGAAAATTGCGCGAATCTTACGTCGCGATTTTTGGTGAAAACAAGATCAAAAGAATTTTCGCCCGAC